CTCCTACTATAATTTTCTGAATTTTAAAAAAATTACTTTTGAAATAATTTTTCCAAATTTTCTCCAATAAGCATATTGTACCATCATAATAAAAAGTTAATTCTTTAAAACAAACAAAAAAAGCAGGCCCAGGTTTACTGTATCTACCTTCTGTGAAATTAAATTACCAGAAAGGCTTGTCAAGACTGAGTAGATGCTGCAAGTTAAGCTATATAAAATTATCTAAATTTTCCTTTAAAAAAAAAATACATATATATATGTGTGTATTTGAAACATATATATCAGGTACCATCAACAGAGTACTCATTATGTGCCAAGCACTGCCCTAAATACTTTTCACACGTTGGTTCATTTTATCTTCACAACAACCTTACAAGATTTCCCTTTTTTTAGACATGGGGGTCTGGCTGTGTTGCCCAGGCTGGACTCGAATTCCTGGGCTCAAGCAATCCTCCTGCCTCAGTACAAGATAGTTTTTTTGTTGTTGTTGTTTTTGAGACAGACAGAGTCTCACCCTGTCACCCAGGATGGAGTGCAGTGGCACGATCTCAGCCCACTGCAACCTCTGCCTTCCGGGTTCAAGCAACTCTGCTGCCTCAGCCTCCCAAGTAACTGGGATTACAAGCACGCGCCACCACACCCTGCTAATTTTTGTATCTTTAGTAGAGATGGGGTTTCACCATGTTGGCTAGGCTGGTCTTGAACTCCTGACCTCGTGATCCACCTGCCTTGGCCTTCCAAAGTGCTGAGATTACAGGCGTGAGCCACCGCGCACAGCCTCAAGATATATTTAATCCATCCCATTTTACAGATGAAGACTGAAGTTTACAGAGATTAATTCCCTTGTCCAAGGTCACTCAAAGAGGAAAGGGAGAGTTAAAATTTGATCTGAAATTCAGTCTGGCACCAAAACCTGTGCTTTTTCCAACCTTCTCTACCTTTCTTTCAGCACTATTATTTTCTTCCATTTAATATTAATCTGACATAAATGCTCTTACTGAAAGATTATGTTAACCTCACTAAATGTAGAAAAAGCACTCAAAAGGGCCATTTTCATCTCATGGATGCCCTCGCCTATCATTTAATCAAGGTAAGAATATATTCAGTAGCTTTCATTTGCTGCTACAAAAGTTGGTACACCATAGCTACATGATCTAGTTAAACCAATTATGAATTCTTTAAACCCAAATTTCTGGTGAGGAAAGGTAAAACAAATACATAATCAACATGTTATGTACAAAACTGTACAAAACTAAGCACAGGTGTTTCTTATATTCCTGATGAGGAAGTGTGCTTAAGGAGCATACCAGAAACCAAGGGCAGTTTGACACACTCAGAAGTTATAGATTACCTGCTCAATCAAATTCCCACAGGAATTCTAGAGCTTTAATTCGGTTCACCAGATCCTATCATGTTTGATCTACATTAGCAGTGCTTTATAATTTCTTTCACATATCTGTCTGTTCGCATCAACAGTCTCCATCTCATTTTCTTAAGAATTATAGTTTAATCTCTTGCTGACCAGCATTTAAAATAACTGAAGGATACTGAAAAGGGCACAAAACTGCCTTGTTTGAAAAAATATTCTAAGAGTTATCAAATAGATGAACTAAATGAATAGATGCCAGATTCATAATGAATTAAAAAGGAGCTTTAAAAAGGCATCCTTACTCTTACAACAACAGAAAGACAACCCAATTTAAAAATGGGCTAAAGTGCTGAATAGGTATTTCTCCAAAGACACACTGAACATCATCTGTCATTATGGAAAGCAAAGCAAAACCACAATGAGATGCCACTTCACATCCACTAGGATGGCTAAAATAAAAAAGACATGAACAAGTGCTGACAAGGAGACAGGGCAATTGGAACCCTCATACATTGTTAGTGGGATTAAAAAATGGTAGAGCCACTTTGGGAAATGTTAATAGTTTAGCAGTTCCTCAACAAGTTAACCACAGGATTACCCTGTCTCAGCAATTCTACTCAAAGGTATATACCCAAGAGAAATAAAAATATTTGTCCAAATATTTGTCCAACCTGTACACAAATGTTCATAACAGCATTATTCATAATAGTAAAAAAAACCCACCCAAATGTCTATAAACTGATGAATGGATATTTATATCATTATTGTTTAGCAATAAACAGGAATAAAATGTCAAAACATCCTACAACATGAATGAACCCCAAAAACATTATGTTAAGTCAAAGAAATTAGTCACAAAAGGCCAAGTATTATATGATTCCATTCAAATGAAATGTCCAGAAGAGGAAAATCTATAGAAATAAGAAAGATTAGTGATGGCCACAGGCTGGGTATAGAGGGGAATAGACAGTGATTGCTAAACATGGGTTGTTGGGTTTTTCTTTTTTTTTTCCTGCAGTGATGGAAACATTCTGGAATCAGATATTAGTGATAGTCACAGTTGCAGAATTCTGTGACTACTTTAAAACCATTGAATTGTGGCCGGGCGCGGTGGCTCAAGCCTGTAATCCCAGCACTTTGGGAGGCCGAGATGGGCGGATCACGAGGTCAGGAGATCAAGACCATTCTGGCTAACACAGTGAAACCCCGTCTCTACTAAAAATACAAAAAAAAAAACTAGCCGGGCGAGGTGGCGGGCGCCTGTAGTTCCAGCTACTCAGGAGGCTGAGGCAGGAGAATGGCGTGAACCCGGGAGGCGGAGCTTGCAGTAAGCTGAGATCCGGCCACTGCACTCCAGCCTGGGCAACAGAGCCAGACTCCGTCTCAAAAAAAAAAAAAAAAAAAAAAAAAAACCACTGAATTGTATACTTTAAAAGGGTGAACGTTATGCTATGTGAACTGGATCTCAATAAAGCCGCTGCTTTAAAAAAGGAAATTCCTACTCTTTGACACTGAAGTTAAGGACAGCTACAGCTTTCCAATATCCATTCCTTGGGCACTCAGTGGCAAGATATCTACAATAAAAGGATCTAAATCTGAACAAGTGGAGTTAGTTTCCATTTTCTCACAGGCTTGATCTCTACACATCCTTTTTTTTTTTTTTTTTTTTTCTGGCCACTTAAAAAGAATGAGGCAGCCAGGTGTTGTGGCTCACACCTATAATCCAGTGCTTTGGGAGGCTGAGGATCACTTGAGACCAATTCAAAACCAGCCTGGCCAATATAGTGAGACCACATCCCTACTAAGAAGAATTTTTTTAAAAAAATTAACTAGGGCCGGGTGTGATGGCTCACGCCTGTAATCCCAACACTTTGGGAGGCCAAGGCAGGTGGATCCCTTGAGCCTAGGAGTTTGAGACTAGCCCGGACAACATGGCGAAACTCCATCTCTCTAAAAATATAATAATTTTTTAAAAACCGACTGGCTTAAGGCTAATCAGAACTCACACCTGAAACCTTCAGAAATCATACTGCTGGTGCACAATGGGGAAAAGTTGTTGCAGAATCAACCACTGCATGGCTCACAGTGCATTGCTGCATACTTAATCTTATCTGATCTTACAAAAGAAGTATTAGAAAGATCCAAATGATATACACATGGGAAAAGGGATTTTGTCTTCTCATTTTTAAACTATGTTAAAGCTTTCTGCCTATTTAGGATAAAGAGGTCATATTCAGAGACTGTTCACATGTATGCATTCTCAGCAAAACATCTACAGGGTGTGGTCATCAGATATTATTTAAAAGGACCAATAAGCCAGGCACGGTGGCTCACACCTGTAATCCCAGCACTTTGGGAGGCCGAGGCGGGCACATCACCTGAAGTCAGGAGTTCGAGACCAGCCTGGGCAACATGGCGAAACCCCATATCTACTAAAAATACAAAAATTAGCTGGGCATGGTGGCACGTGCCTGTAATCCCAGCTACCCAGGAGGCTGAGGCAGGAGAATTGCCTGAACCCGGGAAGCGGATAGGTGCTGCACTCTAGCCTAGGTGACAGAGTGAGACTCCGTCTCAAAAAAAAAAAGGACCAATAGGAGAACAAATTTTAAAAGAATGCTAAAGGCTGGGCATGGTGGCTCATCCCTGTAATCCCAGCACTTTGGGAGGTCAAGGCAAGTGGATTACTTTAGGTCAGGAGTTCGATACCAGCCTGGCCAACATGGTGAAACCCCATCTCTACTCAAAATACAAAAAATTAGCCAGGTGTGGTGGTGAACACCTGTAGTCCCAGCTACTAGGGAGGCAGAGGCAGGAGAATCGCTTGAACTCCGGAGGCAGAGGTTAACGGTGAGCCAAGATCACGCCACTGCACTCCCGCCTGGATGACACAGCCAGACACTGTCTCAAAAAAAAAAAAAAGAATGCTGAAGAGAGACACAGCAATGGTTCTTAAGCACAGGTGATATTTGGTAAAGTCTAAAGACATTTTTGGCTATCAGCTAGGGAGGGAAGCGCTACCCGCACCTAGTGGATAGAGGCCAGGGATGCTACTAAACATCTTACAATGCACAAGAGAGCCTCTCAATGATCTGAAACAAAGTATCAGACATGCCAAGGTTGAGTAACTCTGAGTACTACCACCTACAGTCCTGTTAGTGCATCTAAAGTCCAAATACTACTCCACAGTATGAAAGTATTAATCTATCTGTTCTAGTGTGAGAAGCTGAGTTTCACAAATGAAAAAGAGTGAGCAAGAAGCAGAAACCACTTTAATCAGAGTGGCTACTGTTCTAACATTCCAAAAGCAAATTTATCTCATGTGTTTGTGGGACTGATTTCTTTTTTAAAAGGAATATAAAAAGCAGTTTCCTTTTTTTCTCTTTTGAGGCAGAGTCTTGCTCTGTCACCTAGGCTAGAGTGCAGTGACGCAATCTCGGCTCATGGCAGCCTCTGCTTCCTAGGTTCAAGTAATTCTCCTGCCTCAGCCTCCCGAGTAGCTGGCGCATGCCACCATGCCCAGCTAAATTTTTTTTGTATTTTTAGTAGAGATGGCGTTTCTCCATGTTGGTCAGGCTGGTCTCGAACTCCTGACCTCAGGTGATCCACCCGCCTTGGCTTCCCAAAGTGCTGGGATTACAGGCATGAACCACCGCGGCCGGCCTAAAATACAATTTTCTATCACTTTACTATATAATGCTATTCTTTAATAGGAAAGATCTATCAGTGTACATTTAGGTTTAGAGCCTTTTGGTATTTTGAAGCAGTCCTAAAAGCTAGCACAATACAAGTAACTGCAACCATAATACACTGTTCCTGGATACCAAGGTAAGAAGAATGAAGAAGCAATTCTTTTCAAGGCCCACCAGATTTGGACACTAGAATAAAAACAGGCTTCATTCCTCTACTCACTAGAAACATAGTCTTTCTAGTATTTATCTTTGCTAGATCCCTCATGTTATTCTCCTCCTAAACAAATATACAAATAATTTTAGTCCCTTCATGGTATCCAATAGTTCATGGGGTTTAATAACACAGGAATGCCTTTCTTATCCATATACCTATAATTTCATCCCTACTCTCAACAAGTCATTCTCAGAGTAGGAAAGGAAATAAGCGGAGTGTCCTCAAACTTATGTTAAAACAGAACCTTCTCCCCAGTGTTATCTCATACTATACTCCCTCTCATTCCCACACTCCCACCACATTAGCCATCCTGCTACTCTTTCCTGTTGTAAGTATAAGACCATATAATATCCATGCCCTAAACCCCCAACCCAATCTCAAACCAGGGGCGTTTCACTTGTTCCCTCTACTGAAATACTCTTCACCCATATCTTTTTTTTTTAATGTAATACTGTTTATTTAACTTCAAAAACATTTCAGCATTCTAAACATACAAAAAATAATAATAATAACAGAACGTTGCAAATCATGTTTAAGTACAGGAGGTTCTTGAACTTTCATTGATGCAGTGGCTCTTTGCTTTGCTGACAATGAAGAGTTCTACAGTTTGTTTAAAAACAAAGTTAAAAACTATCGCACTTAAAAAAAAAAATTATCATGCCAGCTGACCCCCCTTTGTCCACAGCTAAGATGGCAGCAGAACGCTATGTCACTATATACAGAAACAAGACAACCTGAAGCTAAATGGATGCCCCCTGCAGAGTCAACAGGTTCAGCCTCACAGTGCACACCCTGAGCTACAGCCTCTCCAAAAGGCATCTTCCCCACAGCCTCAACGCCGAGCAAGGAGCATCAAGAGTTTGTCTTGATTGTTTTGTTCTTTTTACAAACTATAGATATATACAGTTGAAAACTCAGGATTTCTAGCCAATAACCATAGTTAACACCACCTTACAAACTAAAAAAAAAAAAAAAAAAAAAGCCAGAAACATCTTTAAATGCCTTGTCACACCAACAGCAAAGTGCACAGAGTGAGGAGAACAAGAAGAGGGTCTTTTCATTTTAAAAATGTTTGGAAATATGTACAACTTTGATACAGTTTCAGGGTGCTCCAGACACCCATGGCCACTTCATGTAAACCAATGACAATTTCTAGAGCACTTTGAGAGACTACAATATGATCATGATCAAATTTTGTAATTAAACCTAGTGAAGGCAACAGACACTTCTCAAATAAGAGATGTGTCAATTATCGTGCTCCCCTAAGTATTCACAAGGAGACAGATAAACAGTTTCTTTATTCATCCTCCTCCTCCTCCTCCTCTTCTTCCTCCTCCTCTTCTTCATCTTTCTCTTCCACCTTTTTCCAGGCAACTTTAGCAGGACCCTTTGCACCATCAAACTTTCCTTTTGACTTAAAGTCAGCAACATCCTTCTCATACTTCTCCTTCAGCTTTGCTGCCTTAGTGATGTAAGGCTGCTTTTCACTGTCATTTAAATTCTTCCACATCTCACCCAGCTTTTTTGCCACGTCTCCAATAGAGATGCCGGGGTTTGTGCATTTGATCTTGGGGCGGAATTCTGAACAGAACAGGAAGAATCCAGACGGCGGCCTTTTGGGAGCATCAGGATCCTTCTTCTTCTTGCCTCCCTTAGCTGGTCCATAATCCTTCATTTCCCGATCATAGCGCACTTTATCCGCCTTTGCCATTTTATCAAATTTAGATTTCTCTTTCCCAGACATCATCTTCTACCTCTCAGAGCACTTCTTGGAAACTTCTGCAAAATTGACAGGGACCTCTGGGTTTTTCTTCTTATGTTCTTCTCTGCACATCTGCACAAAGAAGGCATAAGCAGACATCTTGCCCTTTGGTTTCTTGAGGTCACCTTTAGCCATCCTGACTGTATTGTTCCTCTTCACCCGTATCTTTACATGGATTTCTCCTTGTCATATATGTCTCAGCTTAAGTATCATGAACTTAGAGAAATCTTCTCTGACTACTCAAATCTAAATTAATCCTCCAATCACTCCACTGTATCAAATTTCCCATAGTTTATTAATAATCGACTAGTTAAGTATTCAGTACCTTTAAACAGCCTTTCTTGTTTGGCGAATTTCTCATCCCTTAAATCCTACCTCCTCAAAATAAAAGTCAGAAATTCAGTTACCCATCCTCTCTTGCAAACCGGGAGCAGGTAATTGACCTATATTATGCCAATAAAACACATTCACATGATATTCATTAGAAGGCAAGTGATATAATGGAGACGCCATGTGAAATCCATTCTAAAGAACATTTCAGAGTTATATCAGCATTCTTTCAGAAGCAGAAATAGCAGAGGTCCTAGCAGTGGCATCTCACACTCAGCACAGACAGTTACAAGTTCTAATACCTATTCCCAGTGGCAAAAGCAGTAGTCTCCAATGATTTGGTCCAGTGGTATAATTTGGGCATTTTTCCTAGCTAAGTAGACGCCAAGACTGATTCTCTGGCATCCGTGAAGATTCTGTGAGCTATCTTATTAGATTAAAAAAAAATTTTTTTTTTTTTAATTCTGCTTAAATAAACTACTGGGCTTTGCCGTTTCAACTAAGAGCTCTGATTCATTCTTCATACATTTTTTCATCAGATTCTTACTGATATTTTCTTGTTAATTATTTATTAGCTGTCTCTCCCCACAAGAATATAAAACTTCTTAAGGACAGGGACATTATCTGTCGTGTTCATTCCTATAAACCCAATATTTACCATAGTGCTTCCCATACAAGAGGCACTCAAAAAACACTTCCTACTGCTACACAAACACATACTCGGGAACCAATATGAAGAATTCAAAGTATCAGTACTCTAGGAGTTAAGAGATAAAAAGGATCAATGTGGTCTAGAGAAAGCAAAGAGGCTTCACGAAGGCGGTGACACTTGAGTGGAGTACTGAAAAGACAGATTGTAATCAGGAATGTAGAAAGGCAGAGATGTATCTTCGAAAGGATAAAACAAATGTCTGGCACTAGGAATGAATGCAGCAGGCAGAGAGTAAAGTGGGATTAGGGAAAAGTATGTTGGGCTCGATAGGAGATATTATCAGACATGCAAGATGAGCAAGATTATGAATGGCTCTGAATGCTAGGCTTGGGGAATGTTCCATTTGATGATGTTTCAAGAACACTAATCCTCAATGAGTATTTTCATCTGTTCTTTATTCTAGATGTTATCTGCTGTGTAAAACTACAGCAGCTACCCACACGTTCTCTACAGCATTCCCTCTCTGAGCACTGGTGCTCTATATTTATCTGTTCAAGCTGAGAGACTACAAGAGGAAGAGATTCCTATAATTAATCCTCTTGCAACCAAGTGGATACTCACTTTAAAGATAAAAATCTATTGCCAAAATGGCCTTTATTTTCCAACCGCCATCCCCAAAGCCATACATTAAAATTCGTCTCAACTCAATTTATCTTCTAGTCTATTAGAATAATTTCCAGATACTAGGCTGAGGTGGGAGGATCCTTTGATCCCAGGAGTTCAAGACCAGCCTGGCAACAAAGCAAGATCCTATCTTAAAATATATAAATAAACAAAAACAGATAGGATAATCATTCAAGTATGAGGAAAAATATGGAAGGATATATATACGACATGGTTATCTTGGAGCAAAATGGGAAGGAGAGAGAACCAGGCAAGAAAGGAAGAAAGAAATTTGATTTTAGTTATATGAAAGGCAATATGTATGAACATATAGATTAATTTTTTTTTTTTTTTTGAGACAGAGTTTCACTCTTGTTGCCTAGGCTGGAGCATAATGGCGTGATCTTGGCTCACTGCAACCTCCGCCTCCTGGGTTCAAGCAATTCTCCTGCCTCAGTCTCCTGAGTAGCTGAGATTACAGGTGCCCACCACCATGCCCAACTAGTTTTTGTATTTTAGTAGAGACGGGGTTTCACCATGTTGGTCAGGCTGGTCTCGAACTCCTGACCTCAGGTGATCCACCCACCTCAGCCTCCCAAAGTGTTGGGATTACAGGCGTGAGCCACCGCGCCTGGCTTACATTTCATTTAAAATATTTTTTAGGCCTGGCGCGGTGGCTCACGCCTGTAATCCCAGCACTTTGGGAGGCCGAGGCGGGCGGATCATGAGGTCAGGAGATCGAGACCATCCTGGCTAACACGGTGAAACCCCGTCTCTACTAAAAATGCAAAAAATTAGCCGGGCGAGGCGGCGGGCGCCTGTAGTCCCAGCTACTCGGGAGGCTGAGGCAGGAGAATGGCGTGAACCCGGGAGGCGGAGCTTGCAGTGAGCCGAGATCGCGCCATTGCACTCCAGCCTGGGCGACTAAGCGAGACTCTGTCTCAAAAAAAAAAAAAAAAAAAAAAAAATTTTTTAAACGAAAATAGTATGAGCCAGGCACAATGGCTCACAACTGTAATCCCAACACTTTCAGAGGCCCAGGTGGGAGGATCACTTGAGATCAGGAGTTAGAGACCACCTTAGGCAACGTAGTAGGACTCCATCTCTATAAAAAAGTTTTTAAATTAGCCAGGTGTGGGGCAGGCGCAGTGGCTCACGCCTGGCCAGCACTGTGGGAGGCCAAGGCAGGCGGATCACGAAGTCAGGATATTGCAACCATCCTGGATAACACAGTGAAACTCCATTTCTACTAAAAAAGACAAAAAATTAGCCGGGCGTGGTGGCGGGTGCCTGTAGTCCCAGCTACTCGGGAGGCTGAGGCAGGAGAATGGCGTGAACCTGGGAGGCGGAGCTTGCAGTGAGCCAACATCGCACCACTGCACTCCACCCTGGGCGACAGAGTGAAACTCCGTCTCAAAAGAAAAAAAAAATTAGCCAGGTGTGGTGGTGTGTGTATGTAGACCCAGCTACTTGGAGAGGCCGAGGTGGGAGGATTCCCTGCACCCAGGAAGTCAAGGCTCAGGAGAGTAAGCCATGCTCACACCACTGCACTATAGCCTGGATGACCACATGAGACCTTGTTTCAAAAAAATAAAAAAGTAAACACAGTATGAAAGTTATTAAAAACCAGCTAATCCAACCATCCAGATGCCCCAAAGATTCACTTATTCAACACTAAGTGCTTATTTTGTGCAATGAACTGGGAAAAAGGTTGGCATCTCCTTTCCAATAAAAAAATCTAGTACAAATAATCCATCTATTCCAAAGGATTTCCATTCCATTTTGAAGCTGATCTAATGAGAGAAAATTCTTCCATATGCTGAGCTGTAATTTGCTTCTCCATAAAGAAAAAGAATGAATCTAATCTAACCTTCATCCACATAGTTGTCTTCAAATATGTTCAAGACTAGTACTGTGTTTACTTGGCAACATTTACAGGTAGTTCCCTACTTTCATATGTAACACAGCCCTTTAAATGTGCCTAAGAGTTGAATGTCCAGATTCAGACTTAAGGGACTTAAAATGTTAAAAAGTGACAAACTTGCGGGGGGGGGGGGTAGAAATGCAGCTAAAATTACAAAGGATTAGTTTCCCTAATATACAAAGAACTCCCACAAATTACAAAGAAAAAACCAACATCTCTACAAGAGTTAAGGAACATGAGTTTTAGTTCACAGCAAAGGGAAAGACAGTACTTTTAAAAGATGCTCAATTTCACTTATACAAGAAAAACATATTAAAGCTTCATTGAGATACCACTTTTTCACCAGTCAGAAAGTTTAGTACCACATTGTGTTGGCAAAGACGTAAGCAGATAGTAATTCTAATACATTCTACTTTGAGGAATACATTCTATAAACTCATACACAAGCAATGATGAATGCACAAGGTTATTCACCATAGCAATTAACTGTAAAAGACTGGAAACAACATACATGTGTAACAGGGAATTGATTTTTTTAAAGTATACTATATCTTCTATATTAAAGAATCATAAGCTATTTCTTAACATTCTTGATGAGCAAATCTAGAGACAAAAGGATGGGCTTTCCAGTGATCTTAGAAGAATCTGACAGTTTGTGTTAAAAGTTCTCAAAGATACCATCTGAAACAGATGAACTTCTAAGGATGTTCTGAATAGCATTATTACAATTTGTGGCCATTACCTGTGAGTGTAGAAGAACATGGTCAGGGAGGTAACCTAATCTATTTGCAGAGCAACAAACTACAAAAGTCATCAGGTGAAAATGAGGAAAGAATGTTTACCTTTAAAATTCTCAAATGTACTAGGGAAAGGGAGGGCCCACTGAGAACCATCCCACTAACCCGACCAGTACTGGCCTTTGCAGGACACCATGAACCACACGGTCCAAACCGTCTTCTCTCCTGTCAACAGCGGCCAGCCCCCCACCTATGAGATGCTCAAGGAAGAGCACGAGGTAGCTGTGCTGGGGGCGCCCCACAACCCTGCTCCCCCGACGTCCACCGTGATCCACATCCGCAGCGAGACCTCCATGCCCGACCATGTTGTCTGGTCCCTGTTCAACACCCTCTTCATGACACCCCTGCTGCCTGGGCTTCATAGCATTTGCCTACTCCATGAAGTCTAGGGACAGGAAGATGGTTGGCAACCTGACTGGGGCCCAGGCCTATGCCTCCACCGCCAAGTGCCTGAACATCTGGGCCCTGATTTTGGGCATCCTCATGACCATTCCGCTCATTGTCATCCCGGTATTGATCTACCAAGCCCATCGATAGATCAGGAGACATCATTCAGGCCAGGAGCTCTGCCCATAACCTGTATCCCACGTGCTCCACCTTCCATTCCTGGTCCTGCCCCCAGAGCTGAGTCCTGTATCAGCCCTTTATCCTCACACACTTTTCTACAATGGCAGTCAATAAAGTATACATGTTTCTGGTTAAAAAAAAAAAAAAAAAATTCTCAAATGTGCTAGCAAAAATAAAATATATTTTGAAAAGCATGTTGCAAGAACAAATTATTGATAGAGCCACTCTGGAATATTATGCTGCCATTAAATATGTATGACAAGTTTGTTAAATATTTTGTATAATGCTGAGCAAAAAAAGCAAAATATAGTTACATGGGTTTTTTTCTTCCTTGAGTCATCTTCAATGGTAAGTTATATGGTTTTATGTTGTATATAAAGATGACCTATTCTTTTATCAAAGCAAGATGAATTCCATTAAAAAATGTCTAGAAGGAAATACATAAAAATGTTAACAATAGTTGTCTCTGAGTAGCACTTCTTTCTTCCATTTTTCTGTACATCTCAATTTTCTATGACAAAATATTTAGTACTTTTAAAAAAATGAGTGATTCTGAATATGTTAGAAAAATAAGAATCATAGCATCATATATATGAACAGAAAACTAGGTTTATTAATTTAATCTCTGTTCTGACCAATTTGGTAATTTTTAAAAACTCAACTGCAAAAAAAAGACTAGAAAATAAACATTTTCTTTTTTTTAAGATGGAATCTCACTCTGTCAACCAGGCTGGAGTACACTGGCCCAATCTTGGCTCACTGCAAACTCCGCCTCCCAGGTTCACACCATTCTCCTGCCTCAGCCTCCCGAGTTGCTGGGACTACAGGCGCCCGCCACCACAACCGGCTAATCTTTTGTATCTTTAGTTGAGATGGGGTTTCACCATGTTAGCCAGGATGGTCTTGATCAATCCTGACCTCGTGATCTGCCTGCCTCGGCCTCCCAAAGTGCTGGGATTACAGGCGTGAGCCACTGCGCCTGGCCAAAAATAAACATTTTCTAAACATAACAGTAACAGAACAAAGGAAATTAAGCTTTGATAAGAAAAAGAGACTTTTTCTCCCATGTTCAATAGTCTTGAGAAAAGAAATAATGCAAATTTTAGTTAAAATGTCACCCAAGAAAGTAACAAAAGGTCTCATAAAAAAAAGAAACAGACTTTGTCTCTATTTCTTAATCATCTAACAGGAAGAAGTAGCAACTTTCAGTGCAAGCTACTCTCTTCTTTGATTTATAAATCAAACTCCCCCCAAAAATGGGTTATCGAAATTAATCTTGAAAAATTAATTTTTAAAAAGTAATTATAGCTATCATGTTTTCAACTCTGGTTACACTAGACTTTTGCTTGTAAAAATAGTTAAATGTTAAAAAAAAAAAAAAGAAAGAAAAAAGTGGCAATAACTACAACTCAATCTTGTTACCTCATTGTAATGTTGGCTACGCCTAGATTAAGTCAAGCGGAAGGTTAAAGTTCCTTGGTAAAATAGAAAAGAAAAAAAACAGCTGAGATTAAGGGGAAAAGGTGGCATCTAGTTCATAAGAAGTCATATACCCTCTTTTTTTTTTTTTGATGGAGTGTCGCTCTTGTTGCCCACGCTGGAGTGCAAAGGCGCAATCTCTGCTCACTGCAATCTCCGCCTCCCAGGTTCAAGTGATTCTCCTGCCTCAGCCTCCCGAATAGCTGGGATTCAGATGCCCACACCTTTTTTTAATTATAATAAATCAGTATGTTATACTAATTGATACATTTTAATATTTATACCAAGAATTCCTTATAAACCCAATTTATCTTTAAATAAAGTGTATAAATTCCATTGTTTCATAACTTAGCACAGATCTTCAAACCCACAATGATGTTACTGTGAGAACAATATACTACCAAATGTACATTTAACCATAAATATTGTTGTATTCCCCATAACGAGCTTAAGTGGATAGTAATTCAAGTTGCAATTACCAATAAGAGACCCAAACTGATTTGTTTACATGTTTCACAGATATTTTTGTTTCAAACAAAATGAAATGATTCTTTTTAAGTTTCAACAACAAATATAACCATTATCCCCACCCACAGATGACACTGCCTAGAAATAGCTGTAATGCATCACTACAGCAAGGCACTAGACGAGTACAAAAACACTGTAGTGTATATTAAAATCATCTCAGAACAACCAATAAAACAAAAATTTCATGTAGGGAGATCATGGAAGACCTTACTGAGAATATTAAGATTTGAGCAGAGACTTGAGAGGGATAAGAAATATGAAAACCTGCATATATTCAGGAGAAAAGCATTCTAATGATAGAAAACTGCAATGCAAAAATCCTATGAGGTAGGTGCATGTTCAGCATGTTTGAGGAATAGCAAGGAGGTCAGTATCACAAAATGGAGTGGGCAAGAGGGAAAGTGGCAGCAGATGGGAGTCAGACAGGGAGCCAAATGTTCAACAGTGATGTGCTCAAGCCAATACTGGCTGGAGAGCAGATTGCTGTACATTCTAGAACTTTGAATCAGCCAGAGTGGGAGTAATTTTACCAGTAAAACAGGCAAATGCTACAAATCAGAACCTTTTCCCCCTCCAGAGAGCCAGTTTATCGTCACTACCTGTAGGCCCCTTGAAGAACTCTTGTCTTTTACTGAGTGAGATCAGAAGCTACTGGATAAGTTCCCTTCTGCCTGACGTCACCATTCCCACTGCTGAGTTATGACCACAGGTAAGAAAGAACAAAAGCAGGGAGACTAATTAGAAAGCTGTTAATATAATCTAGGTGAGATACATTGTTAACCTGAACCAAAGAGCCAGTGGTGAAACAGTGAGAAGTAATCAACTCACTGTCTCACCACTGGCTCTTTTGTTCAGGCTCTGGATACAAAGAACTATTCTGATTTGCATCAGTATGTAGCAACAATTACTAAGCTTCCTATCTAGAAATCAGTATCTAACTCTAACCTAAACATGTCATTCCTGGTTCTGAATTAAGACTGTTAGTTGGATGTATAAAGTACTTCAAGAAGCTCAAATAACCAGGAGTCTTAGATGCACGTTACATATCTTCAGTTATTAAGGGTTCTATTATCATTTCAACTGATCAACATATACATGTATTGAACATCTATTATAAGACACTGCAGAGAACACAAGTAAAATCTGTAATCCAAGCCCCTTCCTCAAGGAGGTTACAATCTGAAGTTTAAACTAAAGCATCCATATATAAAAAGATAGATTCAACACAATGAAAGTATAAAATGTGTGGCAGGGCGAAGGAGTATTCTATAAATTGGAAAGGAGGAGGAAGAAATCACTGAACAGATGGGACTTGAGCTGTGCCTTGAAGGATGGATAGAGTGAGATGATGAGAAATGAACAAACGGAACAAGTAAGGGCCTAATAGGCAGTGGATCTGCAAAGTGAAAGGGCTAAGACAAAGATGGGAATGCACTTGGTGATTAAGGAGTAATCTACTCATGGCATTCAGGAGCGTGGGGAGACAGAGGTTACAATTGGGAACTATGGAGACATATACCTGAATTCCTAATTTCATTACTTACTAGCTTGGGCAAGTTACATAGGACCTTCCTGTCTTTATTTCTTCAGCAGTAGAAATTATAGTACCTACTTTATAGGACTGGTGCACAGAATATATGAAATAAAATCATATACGTATGGTATGTCACACTACCTGAAAGTTAGTAAGCAGTCACTCGTTAGCAAAACCATTACTGGCCTTTTCCAGCCCCAGCTCCAGACCCTGCAGCCGCCAAGATGTTGATGCCTAAGAAGAACCAGATTGCCATTTATGAACTCCTTTTTAAGGAGGGAGTCATGGTGGCCAAGAAGGATGTCCACATGCCTAAGCACCCGGAGCTGGCAGACAAGAATGTGCCCAACCTTCATGTCATGAAGGCCATGCAGTCTCTCAAGTCCCAAGGCTACGTGAAGGAACAGTTTGCCTGGAGACATTTCTACTGGTACCTTACCAATGAGGGTATCCAGTATCTCCGTGATTACCTTCATCTGCCCCCGGAGATTGTGCCTGCCACCCAACGCTGTAGCCGTCCAGAGACTGGCAGGCCTAGGCCTAAAGGTCTGCAGGGTGAGCGACCTGCGAGACTCACAAGAGGGGAAGCTGACAGAGATACCTACAGACAGAGTGCTGTGCCATCTGGTGCCAACAAGAAAGCCGAGGCTGGGGCTGGGTCAGCAACCGAATTCCAGTTTAGAGGCGGATTCGGTCGTGGATGTGGTCAGCCACCTCAGTAAAATTGGAGAAGATTCTTTTGCATTGAATAAACTTACAGCCAAAAAACCTTAAAAAAAAAAAAAATTACTGGCCAGGCACAGTGATTCATGCCTGTAATCCCAGGCCAAAGTGGGAGGATTGCTTGAGGCTAGGAGGGCAAGACCAGCTGGGCAACCTAGTGAGACCTCGTCTCTCCAAAAAAAAATTTTAATTAGATAGGTGTAGTATTTTGCACCTGTAGTCAGTCCCAGCTACTCAGGAGGCTGAAGTGGGAGGGTCACTTGAGGCCAGGAGCTCAAGACCAGCCTGTGTAACACGGCAAGACTCCCATCTCAATCAATCAACTAACCAATCAATAAAAATGATTGGGAAGTGGCAATGGTTAATGGGTACAATAATTAAAAGAATGAGTAAGACCTAGAATTTGATAGCACAACAGGGTGACTATAGTCAATAATAATTTAATTGTACATTTTAAAATAACTAAAAGAACATAATTGTATTGTTTGAAATACAAAGGATAAATGCTTGAGGTGATTTATCTTCAAGTCACTGGAAAAACCAAAAGTGACAATAAGAAAAGTCACAAAAAGGGCTTTGTTTGGGAAGAAGATTCTACATTCTGGTTATGTTAAGTGATACCTTAAAAGCCAAAAGAACATGTAAAATACACACACAACCAAGACTGCAGCTCACTCGCTGATGTAACAATCAGTGGGAAGGAACACATACCAGCACTCACGAACACACGAATATTCCAAAGGCACAACTATTGCACTGAACATTCTTTACTGTAGTGAAAGAACAGATGAACGTTTTGACTTGGTGACTCAAAACAGACCAAAAAGAAAAGATGTCCTCCTTTGGGGCATCTCAAAAACCTGGTTACAATAAAAAGAGACCATTAACATCAGCTACTTTATTCTTCTTATAATACAAATAAGACCGTAAAGGTTCCAGTAACATAATGGTATCTTGATAATCCTATAATTCTGACAGCATATATTCTAAGACAAAAGGTTCATTTGTTCAACTGGTTCGCTGTATATCCTGTAAATGTTAACAGTGAAATGTTGTGTTTTTTCCAGAACTGCTAATACTTTTAATACTTTTTGTATATACTTTCTGAATAACATGCAAATGAAAAAGTATAAACTTGATAATTTTTCACAAAATGAACCCACCCATGTAACCAATGCCTAAACCAAAAGACAGAACATTACTAGCACTCCAGGAGCCCCCTTCATATCCTCTGTCACTTTCCCCAAACCCCCAACAAGGGTAATCAATCTCCTGACTTCTGACACTATTGATTAGTTTTACCTGCTTTTGAACTTATATAAATGGAATCATGCACTGTTAGTGTCTGGCTTCTTTCGTTCATCATGTTATTTGTGAGAACCATGCATTTTTACATGTAGTTGTAACCTGTTCATTCTGATCACCGTTTAATACTCATTATGTGGTTATATCACAAATTATATACTTATTCTACTGCTGACGGGCACTTGGAAAATTCCAGTTTGGACTATTAGTCCTGCCATGAACATTTCTGTCCATGTCTTTTGGTGAATATAGACATATAATTCTGTTTTGTATAAATCTAGAAATGGAACTGCTGAGTCATAGGGTATGCATGTGTTCAACTTTTGTAAGTAACTAATGAACTTTTTTTTTTTTTTTTGAGACGGAGTCTCGCTCTGTCGCCCAGGCTGGAGTACTAATGAACTTTTAAGGAAAAACTATTTTAAATCTTCATGGGGAAGTATGAATGATTAATAGATTCATCAGAAGGTATGGACTCCAAAATTACTTTCAGTGGGGAAAAAACTTATTGACGTAGGAGAGTTGATCCACATCATTCCCAAAGGAGGCAATTTACTTTAGAATATTTTCACCAGCAATTTAGCATATGACACTTAATAAGAGAAGTAACCAAATCCATCTTGCCCATTCTGAAACTGATGATGCTAAAATTTAGAAACAATTGATGAGCCATTACTATCAATAAGATAAAGTAACGATTTTTTTCCCCAACATGTAACAGGAGAATATAAACTTTACAAGTCCAAACTTTGCCTGTTGTACTCATTTAAATAGACTCTTGGAAACTGAAAGGGACTTCAGAACTAGCCTAACCTTCACGTGATCATATAAAGGTCTCCTACTTCAATGAACATGCTAATAAAAATTCCTTTAATCCAAGAACAGAAAAAGAATACTAGGCAAAAACTAAGGGAATCTGAATATAGAATGGACTTTAGTTAATAATAATATATCAAGATTGGTTCATTAATTGTAACAAATGTACCAAAGTAATGTAAAATGTTAATAATAGAAGAAGGTGAGGGATATATGGGAATTCTGTGTCTGATCTTTCCCATTTTTTGTAAATCTAAAATTGTTCAAAATTTTTTTTAAAGTCCAATTAAAACTCTGCAACATAATCTGCAGATTGCAACACACCTGCTAAACTCCTTTCAAAATGCAATCCAGATGCACTTTTAAAGCTGTTAGACACACATACCCACATACACATACACAAATATACTTTCTATCTATGGTCTTAGATACATAGATATATGAGGAAAGCATTCTATCTATGCCAATTTTAGTGTTGCTCCTAGCTTCAAAATTATGAACAAGGCTCTAACTTCTTTTTTTATTCCATCTAAGCCAACCTTTCTGAGTATATACTATAAGCACTTAGTGACTCATTAAGAAGCAATCCCGGCCGGGCACGGTGGCTCACACCTATAATCCCAGCACTTTGGGAGCCCGAGGCAGGCGGATCACCTGAGGTCAGGAGTTTGAGACCAGCCTGGCCAAAGTGGTGAAACTCCGTCTCTACAAAAATTAACCAGGCGTGGTGGTGGGTGCCTATAATCCCAGCTACTACTCAGGAAGCTGAGGTAGGAGAATTGCTTGAACTCGGGAGGCAGAGGTTGCAGTGAGCCGAGATCGTGCCATTGCACTCCAGCCTGGGCGAGAGAGCGAGACTCTGTCTCAAAAAAAGAAACAATCCCCTAGTTATCTTCAAACAATAAAAGCATCCAAATTCCAAGTAAGACCGATACTCTAACAACCATATCTTTGTGGTTTAAATCATTGAGTCTTTGCTTTTACTTCAGGGGCCAAAAAAAAAAAAGAGAGAGAGAGAGAAAGGAAATAGACTGTGCACCTTTCAACTAGTAGGGAAAACAAGCATCCCCTAATATGGTGTGAGACCTAGCAAAAGGAACCCTAGGAAAGGAAGCAGGAGACCTACCCTCTGGTTTCAGTAGTAGAACACTGATTTGCTCTGTGATCCTTGAATAACTCTGGTCCTCAATTTCCATTACCCTGACTGGTATTTTAACTGTAATAATTCTTCCATGAATCTGGAGGTCCTTTCTTTCAAGGAACAGGGTCTTGCTCTGTCATCCAGGCTGGAGTACAATGGCGTGATCACAGCTCACTGCAGCCTCAAATTTCCTGGCTCAAGCGATCCTTTCACCTCAGCCTCCCAAGTAGCCATAACTACAGGGGCATGCTACCATGCCCAACTAATTTTTTGTTTTAAATGGGGCCTCACTATATTGCCCAAGCTGGTCAGGCACTCCTGGCCTCCAGCGATCCTCACACCTCAGCCTCCCAAAGTGTTCAGATTACACATGTGAGTTACCATGACCAGCCTATAAAACCTTTAGAGAATCCACTAATAGTAGTAACATCCTGCCACTGAATGAATGCCTATACCCAGCGAGAAAGCAAAAGAGAAAGAGAAACGAGAGTCAGTGTGAAAGAGAAAGAATAAATGAATGAAAGAAAAGAAAAGATAAAGAAGCTGGACTGCCATTATAGCTTTCCATTTCAGTAACCTTGTATTAGTAATCAATCATACCACTATACATACTGCACATATTTACTTGTTAGTCAGCATTATGGCACAGGTCTTGGCTTTCCTGGTTTTCTCTTTAGAAGCCTATTTGAGAACAACTGTGGTTTTGGCAAGCTTATTTCTAAATACAATTTGAAGTTTGGTTCACCTACAGTAGCAGTTGGCAAACTTTTTCTTAAAGGGCCAAATAAAAAATATTTCAGGCTTTATGGACGATATCGTCTCTGTTGTAACAACTAAACTCTGTCCTTATAGTGCCAGGGCAACCACAGACAATCTGTAAACAAATGGATATGTCTGTGTTGCAATAAAACTTTGTTTACAAAATCAAGCAACCATTTATGCTACAGTTTGTCAAGGCCTGTTCTATAGTAACAGGGGGCAGAAAAATCAACTGGCAATATAGATTTCATAAAACCACATGAGTTCACACCGAAATAAACTGTTCTGCTTGCAGGGAAAAAATGCTTATGAATCATGATTTTCACATACCTGCAAATGTTCAAGTTTCCCCTGCATGAACAGGTCACATCACCAAAACCTAAGACAGAGCAGGAAAACACTCTCCCTTACATGGTTGTTATGACATACAGGGGATGTGTTAATTTATATAGGCAAAATTTACAAGATGACCTGCAAAAGTAAGATACCAGGTTTTAGCAACTTTAATGATAGACATAGAAACCCATACCCGATTAACCTCAACCATTACTTCTTCCATATATTAAGCCAAATTAATTAAGATAAATGCCAAGGTAACTGGCTTTCCTAGGAGAGCTGCCCTGTTTCCATGCAATCTAGTTGGTTTACACCAGCAGAGCCTTGGTCATCCATAACCTATTAAATTTCCAAGAGGCCAGAGTAACTGTTTGAGGTAGCACAGTTCTGATTTATTGGGGTTGTTTACCAATATGGTCTAATCAGGCTAAGATCAGATCTGTTATCCCTTAGGGTGTACCATAGTAAAAATATTCTATTGTGCAACAGTCACCTCACTAAACTCATCCCCATGTTAGCTACCAAGTGTTCAACAGCAGGCTGGAGCAAAGAGCCAGCCCATAAGGGTCAAGCAAGTGCCTTTTTAAAAACTAATCTTAAGAAGCTCCTCTACATGGCTTTGCAAAGTAAGCAAAAACCATGCCAAATAGTAAAAAAGGCACTTACTTGACTCCCACAGGCCAGCTCCACACTCTAGCAGCTAAGATGTCACTGGCATGGTACATGGAGAGTGAGGTGGAAACGGTATCTTGCCAATCACTGATCACTGTAGGAATGGTAGTGAAAGACCTAAAAGAATAGAAAAAAGTAAAGTAAATGTCAAAGGTAAAGGCCCTCTTGAGCCTGCTAATGTGGGTACCTCAGCATATAATGCCAAAGAAGAAAGAAAGTCTGAAAAGACCTTGTTTAAGTCATTCTTAGCCACTAGTTATTACAGTGACCCTTAGGACAAGAGAGCACTTTAAAAAAAAATGACTTGTAACCTAGAAAAATCCAGATTGACTGTAAGAAACTCTGAAATACTTTTTTCAGAAATAAAGTATTACGTATTTGGGCAGGGCGCAGTGGCTCACACCTGTAATCCCAGCACTTTGAGAGGCCAAGGGGGGTGGATCACCTGAGATTTGGAGTTCAAGACCAGCCTAACCAACATGGAGAAACCCCGTCTCTACTAAAAATACAAAATTTGCAGGGCATGGTGGTGCATGCCTGTAATCCCAGCCACTCGAGAGGCTGAGGAAGGAGAATTGCTTGAACCCAGGAGGCAGAGTTTGTGGTGAGCCGAGATCATGCCATTGCACTCCAGCCTGGGCAACAGGAGCAAAACTCTGTCTCAAAAAAAATAATAATAATAAATATCTGATAATCACATAAGCTCAACAAATATAAAAATTGGGAGTTAGCTGGCTGTGTTGGTGTGTGCCTATAGTCCCAACTATTCAAAAGGCCAAGGCAGGAGGACTGCTTGAACCCAGGAGTTCAAGGCCAGCCCGGGCCTGGGCAACAAGCAAGACCCCAACTCTGAAAAACACTGAGGTGGTGGGGGGGGGACTGAAGTAACAGCTCGTAAACCAATTCTTTTATAAATATTTTTAGATTAAAGAAGAAAAAAATTGGCCATGCGTGGTAGCTCATGCCTCTAATCCCAGCACTTGGGAGGCCACGGTGGGTGAATCACGAGGTCAGGAGTTCGAGACCAGCCTGGCCAAAGAGACCAGCCTGGCCAACATGGTGAAACCCCATCGCTACTAAAAATACAAAAATTAGCCAGGTGTAGTGGAGCGCACCTGTAATCCCAGCTACTCGGGAGGCTGAGGTAGGAGAACTACTTAAACCCGGGAGGCAGAGGTTGCAGTGAGCCAAGATCGTGCCATTGCACTCCAGCCTGGGTGACAGAGCGACACTCCAACACCACACACACACACACACACACACACACACACACACACACAAATGAAGGAAGAGGAAAAAAATTTTCACCCCGTCTCTGTGCTTCCGGAATATAAAAAACTGACAGAACCCTAACAAATAATGAAGAAACAAGAAATATTTTTTAAATTAAAAAAGTCTTAGGCTATCCACTAGTTTCAGGCTTTCACTAGTTTCAGAAACAAGTTTACAAACTTTAGAAACCTTGGAGCACTAAATTTTAAAAAATTCTGGTTCATTTGCCAAGTCACACAACTCTTTGGTAGGGGTTCTGTTTGAAAATGATTGGAAATCATTCCAAAACAAGAAAAATATAAAAGGCCCTTTCACATACCACTATCTCCTCTCCCCATACCTATACTTTTCACAGGTAAAATAATTTGTGAAAATTATTACAGAAGTATAATTTGTGTAGTTAGCAAGAAAACCAGCACTAACAAGGCAGGCAGATCACCTGAGGTCAAGCGTTCAAGACTAGCCTGGCCAACACGGTGAAATCCCATCTCTACTAAAAATACTAAAATTAGCCGGGCCTGGTGGCAGGCATCTGTAATCCCAGCTACTCGGGAGACTGAGGCAGGAGAATCCCTTGAACTTGGGAGGCGGAGGTTGCGGTGAGCCGAGATCACGCCACTGCACTCCAGCCTGGGGAACAAGAGCGAAACTTCGTCTCAAAAAAAAAAAAAAAAAAGGAAAAAGAAAAAACTCTTCCATTACTGGAGGTCCATCCAGCACTCTTTCCCTTCAGAACCATGGAAGAAACAAATAGGCAACTAAGTTCTAATCATTCCTGAGGCACTGGAATCTATCAAATAAAAGAGGCAAAAGTATTTTTTTATTCTAATTAAGTTTTAGCCAAAAGACTATTGTACCATCCCTAACTAAAATATGCTTAAAATTGGTCACCATTTGTAACAATCTTCAAATTGTACAGATCTCAAATAATTTAATGAGAATGGAAGATTCACTGTTAATAGCATATCTGGCCAGACTTATATCCTGGGTGCCTAACTAACATTTTAATTTTGGCTTGTGTTTGCTTGCCTTAGCTATAGTCCCTGGAAACCACCCAATTTATTAGTGTTTCCCTTGCTGCCTCAGCATTTCTCGTTGATGCACTATAGCAAATCATTTGGAGGGACAACCTGAATGAAGCTCTGCCCTGTGTACTCTGCAACAATGCTCAAACCATTATCAAGAATGTTGGAAATGAAAGACAACAGCATGAAATTGAGAAGATAAAAAACTTTATCAGAGATTGTCTTTTTAAAACAACGACTTCAAAGTAAGAATATACATTGACTAATACATACAGATTTATTATTAAAACAAATATTTATTTCACATCAACTACCTGTCTCAAAAAATATGCCCCCTCATTTCTAGACCTTTTCTTTTGCTTGCCCCATAAAACCACGACACAATTCAAGAACAGCCTTTTTACCATAAAAGGCGCACCTCCTTTTACAAAATAAAGCAGATAGTTCCCAAATTGCAGACAATTCCAAACACACAGAAAAGAAACAATGAATTAATGCCAACAAATTTCCACCCACAGCTTTTCTGCACTTGAAACATCTGAGAATTTTAGTAACCCAGGCTTTTGTTGCAGCAGCTCAATTCCCCATGAGTTCACTGTATTGTGGCAGATGCTGCTCTGCATTTTGTACAAGACATGTTCATCTGTGTAATAAAACATTCTTCTTCTCTGCCTTCTCTCAGGAAGTACAAAGGATTTTCCCAGGAATATGATAAACGAGGACATTACACACCAAAAAAGGAAAACTGGCTTTTTTGAAAGTCAAAACAGCATTCCTAGTCTAACTTTAAAAATGACATAATAAATTCCTCTTTCCTGTCCCCCAGAATATTCAGCAAAAAGTCTGTCAGTCAACAGAGGTTTAAATATATGAAATAGAGACAGAAATGCCAAAGTAGTTAAAAATGAATGAACCAGAACCACATGTATCAACTAAATAAGGTTTTTCTTGCTTTTTGTTTGTTTTTTTTAAGAAACACAGTCTTGGGCCGGGCGCGGTGGCTCATGCCTGTAATCCCAACACTTTGGGAGGCCGAGGCAGGCGGATCACGAGGTCAGGAGATGGAGACCATCCTGGCTAACAAGGTGAAACCCCGTCTCTACTAAAAAATACAGAAAATTAGCCAGGAATGGTGGTAGGCGCCTACAGTCCCAGCTACTCGGGAGGTTGAGGCAGGGGAATGGCATGAACCCGGGAGGCAGAGCTTGCAGTGAGAGGAGACCGCGCCACTGCACTCCAGCCTGGGCGACACAGTGAGACTCTGTCTCAAAAAAAAAAAAAAAGAAAAGAAAAGAAACACAGTCTTGCTCTATCCCCAGGCTGGAGTGCAATGGCCCAATTATAGTTCATTGTAACCTCAAACTACTGGCCTCAAGTAATCCTCCCACCTCAGCCTCCCAAAGTGCTGGTATTACAAGTATGAGCCACTGTGCTGGCCTAATTTTTTTTTTTTAAGTATTAAGAGAAAAAAAAAAAAAAGGCCAGGCGTAGTGGCTCATGCCTGTAATTGCAGCACTTTGGAAGGCAGGGGCAGGCAGATCACTTGAGGTCAGGAGTTCAAGACTAGCCTGGCCAACATGGTGAAACTCCGTGTCTACTGAAAATACAAAAATTAGTTGTGTGTGGTGGCGCATGCCTATAGTCCCAGATACTCAGGAGGCTAAGGCAGGAGAATCACTTGAACCCAGGAAGCGGAGATCACAGTAAGCTGAGATCGCACCACTGCACTCCAGCCTGGGTGACAGAGGGAGACTCCATTCCAAAAAAAAAGATTTGCAGAAGGATACATACAGTGTAATTTTTTTTTTTTTTTTTTTTGAGACAGAGTTTTGCTCTTGTTGCCCAGGTGGAGCGCAATGGCGTGATCTCGGTTCACTGAAACCTCTGCCTCCCGGGTTCAAGCAATTATCCTGCCTCAGCCTCCCGAAAAGATGGGATTATACACACACACACACACACACACACACACACACACACAGAGAGAGAGAAAGAGAGAGAGCGCGAGAACGAGTGCAAAAGGATAAAGACACTCATGGGATGGTAAACACCAAATTTAAGAGAATGTTACTTTTGGGAGAAAGGTCTACGGAAGGGTACTTGGGGGCAGCAATTATAATCATAATATTCAATTTCTCATGCTAAAGGTTGTACATTATATTATTCTACTTTTTATACACATGACACACTTCATAATTTAAAAATAAAAGATTTTTGTCCTTGTACGTCTGATTGAACATAATGTAACTTCCTTATAAACGACCACCCCACCTCCACCAAAAAAGAAAAAAAAAAAACCCTCAGGTGATGGAATGGCCCTTCCAAGTGAGCTCCTTTGACAGCATTCCCATCAGTTTACCTTCTGCCTTTTCTTCCACTAGTGTTATGACTTTCTAACACTGGCTGTGATGTGACCTTTGGATCCATAACTCAGGGTCTTGGCTTGTCTCTACTTTTCATCTTACACAGAATACCCATTTTAGGCAAGAAATCTATTATAGTTTCCTCTCATTTTCCACTTTTTCATGTTAAAAGCTCTAGAAATCATTAAAAAGAAAGCCATTAGCCGGGCGCTGTAGTTCACACCTGTAATCTCAGCACTTTGGGAGGCTGAGGGGGGCAGATCACGAGGTCAGGAGATCAAGACCATCCTGGCCAACATGGTGAAATCCCACCTCTACTAAAAAATACAAAAAATTAGCCAGGCGTGGTGGCGCGTGCCTGTAGTCCCAGCTACTTGGGAGGCTGAGGCAGGAGAATTGCTTGAACCCGGAAGGTAGAGGTAGCAATGACCTGAGATCGCACCACTGCACTCCACCCTGGGTGACAGAGCGAGACTTCGTCTCCAAAACAAAACAAACAAAACAGAAAGCCATTATATATTCAAAGTTCACCCAACTTTGTGGCAGTTGGCCACACTAAGAACTCGAATTCATTCTGAATCAAACACCAATGCAGGATGAGATATTAAACTTAAAGAAAGCACTGACTAGAGTTCAGCTCTCCATTAAGTAAATGAATATTCCAAAATTGTAATATGTTACACTAAAATTCTGTTTTACTATCTCAACTGTGCTTAGACAGCATTTTTAACGTTTAAGTCACAGCTGATAATAAAGAAAACAAGATTTCATTTTCTTTGGGTTTAAAACAATAAAGAAAGAAAACCAAACTATTAACATCTATATCTATATCTAGGCAGATATTCACACAAAGTATACCCTACGGGCCCTCTCAAAAAAGAAAAAAAACACCAGAAAATCAATTTTTCCTGTCTATTCAGCAAGTGTCTAGCATCAGCACTCACAGATGAGGAAAAAGGGGGAGAGAGAAACTAACAGATCAAGACAGATATAACCTGGTATTCTTCTGTTTACAAAAAATGTAATTGCATCCAAAGCAAGTGGAAAACCTTCAATCTTCTCATTAGGTTTTTACTACTTCTTCCATTCTACTCTATCTTTAAATACTTCTTTAAAGTATTCTGACATCTGTACTTTCTGTTTTAAAATGAAAAATAGTTTTTTATCACACTTGGCCACTTGCCACAGCCCTGCTTCATGGCAGCTATCAGAATTCTGGCAATACAAAATACAGGATACAGTGGGGACAGAATGGAAATACACAAGATTAGTTCCAAAATAAACACTTCCAAAAATCTGCCTTCTTTGGAAATATATATATACAGAAAGAATCTACAGTTGGCAGCACCTCTTTGAAATAGTTCCTTTCTCTCTTCTGCAGTGTCCAGCATGGCCTACACTCCCACCAATCATGCCAGGTAGATGCCACTGTATCAATTTCTCAAATTTTTTTTTTTTTTTTAGAGATAGGGTTTCACTGTATCACCCAGGCTGGAGTACAGTGGTGCAATCAAAGTTTACCATAGCCTAGGCTCAAGCGATCCTCCTGCCTCAGTCTCCCAAAGTGCTGGGATTACAAGTGTGAGCCACTGAGCCTGGCCTCAAATTACTTTTAACATAATAGCTCTACAATCTTCTTTCATTACTATTTTTACTTAGCATTTTATTTAGTCCTGCTTGTTCAGCACAATCGGACCTGTTTTAAGAGTATTAGCTGCTACATGAATCAAAGAGAAGTCATTCCGTCTTGACATTCCCATAATTCCCATCACTGTAGTATCTGGGCACAGAGAACAAGATGATCTACAGCTGTGTTACCCACAGGGTTGAAGGATTTAGGAAATAGTTTCTAGGACTATTTGACTCTCATTCACCCAACATGGACTGAATGTCTATGTGACTGATACTACACTAGGCTCAGTTCACAGAGCTGGAAGAATTTAAGGGCTACTATGCCTATTGACTCCTGCAGGCAACTAATCACTTAAGGATTTCACACCTAGGATTCCTACAGTGTTACTACAAAATAAAACATTTTCTGCTTCAGGCTGGCAAGGTACAACTCAGAATTAATAAATTACTAGTACAGTCCCATCTTACTTCAGTACTCTGACCTTAACTGCTTTCTTCCTTCTCTCAACTCTCCAACTCTCTGGGCTTTCCACATCTTCACCTCTTCCTCCACTCCCTTCGGCAATTTGGATTAGAGAAAAGAAAACAAAGGTGAAAGATGAGACTACAGGCATAATGAACTGTTTAAGAGGAATACAAGGTAAATTGTTCATGAAGATGTCAGAAATAATTATGAAAACTGTCCTAAAGAGGAACTTGAAGGCTGTTTTTCTTCATTTCAAGCTCTTGGCCCTTGTGAGAATAAGCAAATATGTGATACCTGAGTTTATGATTTTACACAAGCCATCTAATGAAATAACATAATTAATTGTAAAGTACTGTATAAAAATACAACATGTTTTATAATTTTAAGGTTTTTTTTTTTTAACTGAACATGGTGGTGCATGCCTGTAGTCACAGCTACTGAAGAAGCTGAGGCAGGAGGATCACTTTAGCCCAGGAGTTCAAGACCAGTCTGGACAACATAGTGAGACCCCCCACCTTAGAAAAATAAATAAAATAAAAATTAAAAGCCCTTTAGGTTCACCTAATCAAGCATCCTTATTTAACTGACAAAAATATTAAGACCAAAGGGGTTAAGTCACTTGTCCAAGATCAAATAACAAGTTAACAGAACAAAGAGGAACAGACCCAGTTCCTATTATACCACTTGGCACCAAATTCTCTTCAATTTTGTTTTGGTGGGAAATACACACACACACACACACACACACACACACACACACACACACACACACACCCCACCCCACTCACTACGACCACCTCTTCATTTATTTAACTATCTCAGAAAACTAATAATAAAAATATTTTGTGATGGTACAGCAATCCTTGGCTCCCATAAGATTTCAAAAGGCGAATCAAGTGCGGTGGCTCATGCCTGTAATCCCAGACTTTGGGAAGCCGAGGCGGGTGGATCACTTGAGGTCAGGAGTGCAAAACCAGCCTGGCCAAAAAGGTGAAATCCCACCTCTACTAAAAATGCAAAAATTAGCCAGGCGTGGTGGTGTGCGCCTATAATCCCAGCTACTCGGGAGGCTGAGGCAGAATAGCTAGAAATCGGGAGGCAGAGGTTGCAGTGAGCCGAGACTCAACCACTGCCCTCCAGCATGGGCGACACGGCAAGACTCTGTCTCAAAAAAAAAAAAAAAAAAAAAAGATTTCAAAAGGCTCACCAATAGCATTACAAATATAATCTCTCTTCCGATAGAGAAGATATGGTAGTCCGGCCAGGTGCGGTGGCTCACACCTATAATCCCAGCACTTTGGGAGGCCGAAGCAGATGGATCACGTGAGGTCAGGAGTTCAAGACCAGCCTGGTCAATGTGGTAAAACCCCACCTCTACTAAAAATACAAAAATTAGCCGGGCATGGTGGCAAGTGCTTGTAGTCCCAGCTACTCAGGAGGCTGAGGCAGGAGAATCGCTTGAACCCAGGAGGTGGAGGTTTCAGTGAGCTGAGATTGTGCCACTGAACTCCAGCCTGGGCGACAGAGCAAGACTCTGTCTCAAAAAAAAAAAAAAAAAAAAGACCAGGAGCAGTGGCTCATGCCTATAATCCCAGCACTTTGGGAGGCCAAGGCAGGCAGATCACGAGGTCAAGAGATGGAGACCATTCTGGCCAACATGGTGAAACCCTGCCTCTACTAAAAGTACAAAAATTAGCTGGATGTGGTGGCACACACCTGTAGTCACCAGCTACTTGGGAGGCTGAGAAAGAGAATCGCTAGAAACCCATAGGCAGAGGTTGCAGTGAGCTGAGATCGCGCCACTGCACTCCAGCCTGGTGACAGAGCAAGACTCTGTCTCAAAAAAAAAAAAAAAGAGATATTGCAACATCTCTAAAAACTTTCATAGTTATCAAAGAAATAAATACCTACACTTTTGTACTGTAATAACTAGAAAACCAAAGAATGTGTGTTGTCTAAAGCAATCTAGTAAGATACCTAGTCAATCAAAATGCTATAATCACTCCAAGTAACGTTTTCAATTATATATTTTTATACCTTCTGAGTCACTGGAGCAGCAGAAGCAGTAGGAATCTCATATATCTGTATTTCTAATGTGGAGGGGAAGGCTGGTACAATTTTACTACGAAAAGGTTTCATGCTTAGTAATGGCTACTTTAAAAAAAAAAAAAAAAGATAAGACCATCATACAATGCTCAATAGTCCCTAAAGGAGATCAAAACAAGTTAAGGCCATTAGAAAGCTCTTTATCAACTTATATATTATAGAAATGAAAAATTAAAGAGAATAAAGTCAAAGAAAATTACTCAAAAGTATTCTTCTAATTAACAAACATAAAATTCAGTTATAGCACAAAGCTTCAGAGAAGTATAATAAACAGAATATACCCCTTTTTTTTTTTTTTTTTTTTTGAGAGAGTCTTGCTCTGTTGCCCAGGCTGGAGTGCAGTGGCTCGATCTCAGCTCACTGCAACCTCCACCTCCTGGTTCAAGCGAGATACTCCTGCCTCAGCCTCCCAAGTAGCTGGGATTATAGGCATGTGCACCCACACCTAATTTTTTTTTTTTTGAGACAGAGTTTTGCTCTTCTTGCCCAGGCTGGAGTGCAATAGCTCAATCTCAGCTCACTGCAACCTTTTCCTCCGGGTTCAGATGATTCTCCTGCCTCAGCCTCCCTAGTAGCTGGGATTACAGGCATGTGCCACCACACCCAGCTAATTTTTGTATTTTTCGTTGGGATGGGGTTTCTCCATGTTGGTCAAGCTGGTCTCAAACTCCTGACCTCAGGTGATCTGCCCGCCTCAGCCTCCCAAAGTGCTGGGATTACAGGCGTGAGCCACTGCACCCAGTCTTTTTTTTTTTTTTTTTTTTTTTTGTATTTTTAGTAGAGACAGGGTTTCACCACGTTGTCCAGGCTGGTCTCGAACTCCTGACCCCAAGTGATCCACCCACCTCAGCCTCCCAAAGTGCTGGGATTACAGGCGTGAGCCACAGCGCCCAGCCCAGAATATGTCCTTTCAACAAATATTTTCATACTGCTATGCAAATCATTCAAATTCTATGGAACAGAGTAGGGGAAGCAGGCATATGAAAATAAGGTAGGCATCTGATTTTTGATATATAAATTTTAAAATAAAAAAAATTTTTTTGCATGGCACATGTATACCTATGTAACAAATCTGTACATTCTGCACATGTATCCCAGAACTTAAAGTAAAATTTTTTTACAAAAATTTGTTTTGGCCAGGCACAGTGCCTCACATCTATAATCCCAGCACTTTGGGAGGCCAACGCAGGAGGATCACTAGAAGCCTGGAGTTTGAGACCAGTCTGGGCAACATAGCAAGACCCTCACCTCTACAAAAAATTTAAAAATTATGCAGGTGGCTGGGTGTGGAGGCTCATGCTTGTAATCCCAGCACTTTGGGAGGCTGAAGCGGGCAGATTACGAGGTCAGGAGTTCAAGATCAGCCTGGCCAACATGGTGAAACCCCATCTCTACTAAAAATACAAAAATTAGCTGGGCATGGTGGCGTGTCCATGTAATTCCAGCTACTGGGGAGGCTGAGGCAGGAGAACTGCTTGAACCAGGACCCAGGAGGCGGAGGTAGCAGTGAGTCGAGATCGCACCACTGCACTCCAGCCTGGGCTACATAGCAAGACTCCATCTCAAAAAAAAAAAAAAAAAAAAAAAAATTATCCAAGCATGGCAGTGCATGCCTGTAGTCCCAGATACTCAGGAGGCTGGGGCAGGAGGATCCCTTCAGCTCAGGAGTTCGAGGCTACAGTGATTTATAATGGTGCCACTGGACTCTGGCCTGGGTGACAGAGGAAGACCTTGTCTTTAGAAAAGTTTTAATTTCATTTAAAAATTTTTTTTAAATCACAAATTTTAAATCAGGTCAAAACTTAAAATTGTAGCAGGTCAGCACAGTTTTAAATACAAAATTAGAGGCATAGAAAAAAAGCATATTTAACATGATTGTAAAAAGGAACACTCAGCGAAGGTCAAGAAATAAAGTTTCGGGCCGGGCGCGGTGGCTCACGCCTGTAATCCCAGCACTTTGGGAGGCCGAGGCGGGCGGATCACAAGGTCAGGAGATCGAGACCACGGTGAAACCCCGTCTCTACTAAAAATACAAAAAATTAGCCGGGCGCGGTTGTGGGCGCCTGTAGTCCCAGCTACTCGGGAGGCTGAGGCAGGAGAATGGCGTGAACCCGGGAGGCGGAGCTTGCAGTGAGCCGAGATCGCGCCACTGCACTCCAGCCTGGGCGACAGAGTGAGACTCCGTCTCAAAAAAAAAAAAAAAAAAGAAATAAAGTTTCAGTGCCTGAGTAATAAAGTCAGACAGACCTTGAATTGAATGGCCTTTCTACTGGTAGTGATAGTCTACATTCAATCACCAAGTTCTATCAGTTCTACTTCCTAAATCTCTCTTCTCTCTATTTCCTTTTCTCTATCTACAATGCTACTGTCCTAGTTCAGGCATCTTTTCCTTGGTTCAGTGAGACGCTCCTTACTGGTCCTTCTACCTCTCTGATCCCATTCTTTCCAGCCAGCCTTCATACTGCTGCCAGCATTACCTACCTGATCATCTGATTCTCCCACTTGAAATTCTTCAGAGGCTCACCTATGGGCAAGTAGTATTTTTTCAAACTGTGGCTTAAGATGTAAAATCAATTTAGGTCTCAACCAGTATTTCTTTAACAAAACAGAACAGAAACTATATAAAATACATAGTAAAAATATTATTTCATGAAACTTTTCTTTAGGTATTTTTTTCTTTTTTTGAGACAGAGTCTTGCTGTCACCCAGACTGAAATGCAGTGATTTCTGCTCACTGCAGCCTTCGCCTCCTGGGTTCAAGCAATTCTCATGTCTCAGCCTCTGGAGTAGCTGGGATTACAGGTGTATGCCACCATGCTAGGCTAATTTTTGTATTAGGTTGGTTTCACCATGTTGCCCAGTCTGGTCTCAAACTCCTGGCCTCAAGTGATCTGCCTGCCTCCACCTCCTCAAGTACTGGGATTACAGGCGTGAGCCACCATGCCCAGACACTTTTCTTTAGTTTTATGTGTGTACAATGCATACACATAACTGGGTCACAGTGTAAAATGTACTTCTACTGTGGGTTGAGTTAAAAACAAAACATAAAAACTCTGACCTACAGAATAAAATTTCAATTTCTTCAGAAGTCCCTTCATAGTCTGATCCCTCATCATAGAAACAGCGGTTAAGAGACAGGATCTGAAGCCACTGTTTGGGTTTATATGCTAGGTGTGACATCTGCTAGCTGTGTGATCATGGGTAAG